GAAAAGGAACATTATTTTTTTCTCATTAATCCCCAACTATTATTGAAATTTGAGTTTCTGCCTAATTGTTAGAAAAGGAACATTATTTTTTTCTCATTAATCCCCAACTATTATTGAAATTTGAGTTTCTGCCTAATTGTTAGAAAAGAATCGAAGAACTTTCTTTGGAAAGGTAAGCCAAATTAATTATCCAATATTTTTCAGCAAGTTAGCATTGACCATCAGGTAAAAGGGACAAAATAATGCTCCGGTATAATAGGTTTCAGTTTTCCTAGTATATATAGCAATAGCATTCAATCTTCGTGACCCAAAGTTGCAGCTGGAACATATATGACATTATCCTAGCCAACTAGGGTACCTAATCATATCATTATAAACGACTTATATCTTGCTACGAGCCAAGAGAATTTAACAAATCCTAAAACATACACGTTGACCGAGTAGCTTATGAATAATAATAAAATTATTCATAAACCATCCAGCCTATTTGCATTTTTGATGGATTAGATGAATTCTACAAGCTTTTAGCATTAATTCAAGCCTTTAATTACAGTGATCAAATTAATCATTTTCGAATTATTGTTACATGATGATAGATCGTTTCCATTATTTTTATAATTTTCATCGCATAGACCTGTACAAATGTGTGCGGAAAGAATCTTTGCTCTTAAATTTGTTAATTAGAGATTATTTGATCTTTACTAAACAAAATAAAATGTATTAATACTACGGATTTCCCTGTTTCGTAATTGATTCAATGTTCTTAGTATCTCGTGTTCACGTTATATGCGATTCATTAATCAATGATTCAGTAACTATAAGTTAGAGAACACAATGATCAAGCTTGTGATTTTTATAACCTGTATTTACATATATCAAAATTTTAATATTAAAGTTAGTAATGGGTCAATTGTAATTTATCCTGTATTTGGGTGTTTTAATATTATGTTAGCATTAGTAATTAGTAATCAAATCCATTTATCGTTCACGATTTCAGTAGTCAAATCCATCTATCGTTCACGATGTTATTAGTCAAATCCATCTATCGTTCACGGTGTTAGTAGTCAAATTCATCTATAGTTCACGATGTTAGTAGTCAAATCCATCTATCGTTTATGGATGTTAGTAGTCAAATCCATCTATCGTTCATGGATGTTAGTAATAGTTGATTGAATAAAATTTTTATTAATGAACTTGGCACATTATATTAAACTGCCATCCTCATTTCCTCGTTTTTCGACTCGATTATTTTGGCCATAATTCGATTAAGAGATATGTTTCGTGCCATAGCCGCTTATGTTTTTGGTCGAGAAGAAATCACTCAGTAATAGTATTGAATCATTAATTCCAAAATATAGAAATGCGTCGTTATGCTAAAAACCCAACCTATTTAAAGGATAGAAAACAGTTTGTAACTAAAAATTTAAAATAAAATTTTGCATATATCCTTAATAATCGGACAACTTAATAAAAGGTACTAAAACTTTAAAATAACAAAATAAAAAAAATACGAATAAAATATTTAGATATAAAATAATCAAATAAAATCCTTAAAAAACATCGAAAATATTTAAATAAAGCGTGGACATTTAAAAGTGCTTAACTACTAGTCAGAGATTAATTATGTTTTAGGAATGTTAGAATCCAAGCTTTAAACGACTAATACATATATATATTATTTAATCAGCTCGTTTTTATCATTAACTTGCTTTGCTTGTAAAACCAAAAGACTTGCCATAACACCTCCAACTAAAAATGCTTCAGAAACATAGCCTAAAGATTTATGCGTATCATTACCATAGTTGCCTAAATTTTTAATTAATTCTCCAAATTCATAATGGTGATGAGGTTCATTCACATGCGAATGACAACTACGCCCTACAACAACTAAATCTTTTCTATTGACAACTTTTTTGGCGCGTTCAACAGCAGTTTGTATTGGTGTATAAGAAGAAACTTCTTTATAACTTATACGTGCATTTTTCGCAGGATATCCAGATTTTGATTTTAAGGGCATTTCTAAAAAGGATTCATCTTCTTTATCATCTTGACGTGAAACAGTTTCGCTAACAGAACTAGTCGAAATTTGTTGATCTTTTTCGTCGTTTACATTATTATTCTCGAAGTGGGCATCAGATTTTAATAACGTGACATCGTTATCAGTAGGTTTTTCTGATTTTATTATTCTCACCACATTTACACTGACATTTGGGTATTCAAGTAATCTAAAAACGAAATTAAGTGCCTCACGATCATCAGCACCACCAAAGAAGGGTACAAAAACATGAAGAAAGCCCGTAGGATTAGGAAGTGTATGTGTGTTGTCAGTGCTACCAAAACCACGATCCACAAACACGCCAACGCTTGCATAAACTGTTGCATTATTAAAAACATCTTGAATAAAACCTGCAACT